CATGGAACCCCCCCCCCATACTCACAAACAGGGTTAGCCCCATGGTCACCAAGAGAGTGATCTGTTTCTCACAGCTTTTACCTGATTGATCAGGTCAATCATGTTTTCAAGAACTTTTGCTGCTTCTCTTTTTTCATCATCTTCCTCCTCTTTTGCCAGTTGTCTTATTTTAGCTTCAGCAGCTTTGCTAAATAATACCTAGAATAAAGAAGAGAAGTTTGTCAAGAGCAGCCCACATCACAAACTAGGATGGGCGCAGCAATGAGGGAAAAAAGCTACCATTTAAGCCCAAATAACCACGATTAATGTTTGTTACTGGGAATTCCCATCCCCAGATAAAACACAGAGGAGTTGGTGGCGATACTACGATAAAAACAGGATAATCAGGACGTGAAAGACCTTCTTCTCCAGCTAATCCACCTAAACCTTTGTAGGTATCAGCTGATCTGACACCTTACGTGCTCGTACTCACCGTACCGTGTCCGTTTGCCTCAAAATAAACACCCACATCAAACTCCTGGGCCTTGTGGTGCAAGTGTTTGACTCCGGTTTTGACGCAGTGCACGGGTACCTGCAGCACAAGGAGATGCAGAGAACATCAGGGTTAGAGACTCCTCCAAGGACAGGAACTGCAGGAGAAGTGCCAGGAGCTGAGCCCCAGCCCGGGCTGTTACACACCAACCTCCCCAGAGCTGCAGTTGTCCCCTGTTTCTACAGATCCAATTCAAAAGATTTCAATTATTCAACTGGAAGTAAAGCCTGATTATTTTTTTTTACTTTTATTTTTTAAAATAAAACCCCAACCCCAAAAAAACGCAATTCATTTTATGACTTGAGGGAACACAGCAGATTTTTGTTGAACCAATACCTTACCTTGATTTCTGCAGTGAACAACATTTACCCTGTTGGAGAAGACTCACTTCCTTATAAAGCCATAAAGTCCACAACTTGTTCCAGAACTAACAAGGAATTTTGTTTAGTTTTTGCCAAATATTTTTTAAACTAGTAAAAGCTGACTAAAACTTCTTCAGCTCTGCTTGTTTGCCACCTTTACCACCAAGAATTTACTTGCTACTGCAAGGTTTGAAAGACTCATTTATTTTAGCCTAGTTGAAGTTTTCCTGCCAATCATATTACTGTAGCATTTATTTTAAAAGTAAACAAATTTGCAGTAAGCAATCGAACTTCTTCAGCTTTGCTTGCTGGCCTTTCCTTTACCACCAAGAATTTACTTGCTACTGCAAGGTTTGAAAGACTCATTTATTTTAGCCTAGTTGAAGTTTTCCTGCCAATCATATTACTGTAGCATTTATTTTAAAAGTAAACAAATTTGCAGTAAGCAATATTTGGAGAAAACTAACAAAAAAAAAAAAGGAGAATACCTTCAGTGTTTGCTCGAGGTAGTGTGTGGAACTCCCGTTGGCGTACGCTGTCTGTACCACTGCCATCTGCAAGGTCTGTCCCACCTGAGCAAACCAAGAAGCAAGATGTGCTTTACTGTCCAACAGGCTCACAGCCAGAGGGGTAGAATAGATGGAAGGATAATCAGAATTATTAGAACCATAGAATGGTTTAGGTTGGAAGGGACCTTTAAGATCATCTTGTCCAACCATCAACCCAACTCTGACAAAACCCATCACTAAACCATGTCACTAAGCACTATGTCAACCCGTCTTTTAAATACCTCCAGGGATGGTGCCTCAGCCACCTCCCTGGGCAGCCCAGTCCAAGGCTTAAGAACCCTTACTGAGAGACACAAAAACCAAAGAGAATGGAACATTGATGTTTTGTACACTGAAAACCACCACGATTTCCTGCTAAGAAAAAGTTCCAGGTTAAAATACCTGTGCTGAGATTTTTTATTTGGAGTGTGGAAGTCACACCTTCATAAAAACAACATTTTGGCTGCACCAGTGAGCTCCAGGACTGATCATTTTTTAAACTGGCTTCACTTTAAGTGGATGTAGAGAGACCATACACATACAAACTAACACAGCTCCCTTAGACTATTTTACACTTTACAAATTCAAGTGTCAGCGTTCATTTCACACGTTAGAGTTACCTTGGCAAGAAGTTCTTTAAGGAAGATACTAATTAAAGTCGCTATTTTATCTCCATCGATTAAGTGAAAATGGCCAGTGGTGTCCTTATAGTAATAAACAATTCTATCTGCATCACCATCAAACGAGCAGCACCTCTCATTGGGATTCATGTCCAGCCCTAGTACACACAGAGTTACAAATGCAAGTTAGAGAGAGAGAAAAAGACATTAAAATGTTTAAATTAGTCCCATTGTGGGTCTCATGTGGAAATGAGCTCTGTGCAGACACACACACAAAAAAACTAACGCTCTGAAACAGACGTTGCTTTTATTTAGAGACTTGCAACTGCCAGCAAAGCCACCCCTCAAGTGCAGTTACAACAGGAGGCGGCGCATAAATCCTGCTGTTCAAAACAGCCCCATCACCACGATTTCTCAGAGCTGCACAAAAACCACACAGGCAGATCTGCTGGCTGTAAAATACCTTATGTTCAGTTTGCCTGATGTTCAATTTATAACAACAATGTATACAATGCTTAAGCAGTACCTGCCTCAAAAACTCTCCAGGCTGAATGGAAAGCTAGGAAACAGCCCCCACCTGACACAGCGATGCCACACAAAAACAAACTCCTCTTTTATTAAGGTAGGTCTTGCTTTTCTTAAAGATTAACCTCATGAATGAACAGGAGAGTTCACATTAACCTCAGAGTCCACTTCTCAGACACTGCAGGCTGATTTCAGAGCCCAGACTCCACAGGGAGCTCCAAAGGAGTCTGCATCCTGTAAACCCCTTCTTGGAAAAACACGTTTTAGTACACAAGAGGACACACCTCGTCCTTCAGAGCACAGGAAACTACACCCCAAAACTTGCCTGTTCCTTCTCCTGTCTGCCTGCAGTGGCACAGGACAACACATCCCAACACCACTGAGGTCCACAAACCAAAGCACGAGGGAACAGACACCACGACATTGAAGAGGTTGAGACTCCCCATGACTTTAAACAGGAAGCCGTTATCAATTAACGCTTCAGAGAAATCAGATCATTTATTTCAGCAAATGCCTAGGACCTTGGCCTTCAGATTTGACTAGCAGCTGCAGTGAGGGTGCAGTTGTCAAACAGAGAGCCTCAAATATCACTAGGACCTTGGCCTTCACATTTGACTAGCAGCTGCAGTTGTCAAACAGAGAGCCTCAAATATCCCATCCAGCCTGCTCCCCCAGTTCAGGGATCTCCTTTTATGCACTTTGCACGATGTTGGTTGAAATCATTTCCTCACTGGCTTATGTCAATCAGTCATTCTGCTGGCACCAAGCTACTAATTATCCCAGCTCTTCCTCAGGAACCCAGAAAAGTGGCTGCAGTCCCAGCCCACAATGTAAATGTTTCTTGATAACACATGGGGAAGTAAAGCAAATAAAAACGAGCGGGTCCTAACTGATCTCTGGACTCTGCCAGCTCCACGTTCAGAGCAGATTGTCAAACACACACCAGCCAGTCAGGGAAATATTGGCTCCTCCAAACAGTTTAGACACACACAAATCCAGGGTGTGCCAAACCCAGCCCTACGAATTCTCTCTTTCCATTGCACAAGCAGAACTGTTCATACAGTTACCCAGGAAGAAACTGGGAGCTCAGCTTATCCAGAGAAGATACAACCATTGCTAGGCCCTGCGCTTTCAGATCCGGAGAGGAGGTAAAAGGACATAAAATTACCAACCACGTACCTTTGGGTGGTTTCTGGTGAACTTTCACAAAATCTGCACCACATAAGTGATTCAGTTTCTCCTTGGTCCCGTCATTGTACAGGTGAATCTGCACCTCCTTTGGAAAGTAGGGCTCCATTTCTGACAGTTTCAGGGCTCCTATCCCATTGGCACAGTCGATCTTCAGGTGCCTCTGACCCTCTCCAGAGCTGGGAGACTGAGCGCAAGGGAAGAAGAGGCAAAGTGAACTCACACCCCAGGGAAACCACACCTAAACGCACGCTGAATTTGAAAAATCTGACCCAAACAAGCTAACAAATAGAAGATACTCATTTTGGACGTTTGCCTGAAGAAGACAACACCCTGCATTCACCTTTTTGATCAGTTCCGTAAAAGCTTTGGATAGTTTTTCATAATAACCTTCCAGTGTTGCTTTTCCATACTGCCCTCGGGTGTTCTGACAGCAGACCATGTAGTGGAGCTGCGGCGTCGTCACCAGACCATAATCTAGCATAAAATAAAAGGCCCAACATTCAGAAATATAACCCTAAATTAATGACTCCTTAAAAGCTGCACAGTATTTGCTATTCTACAATAAACCGACAAATGCAGTTTGACGAAAGAAAACCCCTATGAAAGTTTTCAAGCTCTTGTTAGGAAAAGATGACACCCCCCCCCCCCTCACTAAATTAATGACTCCTTACAAGTTGTACAGTATTTGCTATTCTACAATAAACTGACAAACGCAGTGCCGAAAGAAAACTATGAAAGCTTTCAAGCTCTTGTTAGGAAAAGATGAACCTCCCCCCCTTGCATTAAAGCCATCAACTACCCTGAAAGAAGATTATTACAAGCAAAAATGGAAATGGTGTCTGGGCTACTGCTTTAGGGCTACAGAAAAGAGTCACATTTACATAAAAACCTGAAATCTGACTAGAATAATGTAAGTTTAACATACCGTGGTACTGACCACCTAGAACAGAGATACCATCGATTACTGACTGGGAGAGTTTCTCGCTGCTTGGCCTGGAAAACAACAAATGCAACTTACAAGCTTTGAAGAGGACATTTCTGCATGGACATGAGAAGGAAGCACATGTGAAAGAAGACTCTACAAGCTTCCTGCCAGTAGACTGAGACTCAATATGAAGAAATCCACAATTTTTTTCTATCATAGGCACCTCCCAACAAAGAAATTTGAAAGCCACCACCTCAGAGAATCGTAGAGAGATATAAACTGCTGAACACATATGGATGTCACATGGTACCCACAAAAAAAAAAATCCCAAAAAGCTAAACCTACATTAAAGCTTCCTGTTCAGAAGCAGCACTAGGAAGTTCTCATAACTATCAAGGAAGCTAAAATAGGAATATCTTTGGGAAACTATTGTTTATTGCTAAAATCATACATTAACAGGTATTAACCTGCCATAAACCCCCCCCATAATCTGGCTGTGGAGGGCTAAACATTCAAAAGAACCCATGAAGAAAGCGTTGGCACTTCCATAAACCTACAGCATTTTGTAATTACCTGGTGTCTCTACCAATAAAAACTGAAGCATCTTTGTGCTGGTTCACTGCTGCTTTTTGGCAGATCTCAGTTATTATTTTCTGTAATTCTTGCTCCTCTGCATTGGCTAGTTGTGTGGCATACTCTTCCCAGGAAGGGTGCAGCATTTCTCCAAGAGGATCAACCAGCTTTACGCCGTTATCTTCCTTAGGAAAAAAAAGAAAAAAGAACAAAAAGTAGGAAACTTAATAAAATCTCTTTGAAGAAAGCCATCACATCATTCATTCACATTGCTTATTTCAATGTATAGCATTTCTGGGAAGCAATAGCTTAGCTGCTTATTTAGATCTCCAAAAAAAACCCCAAAAGTCATGTAACCAGCATATTAAATAAGCAACTTTTTCACCCTTACAATTTTAGTATGAAATTCATTTGACATTGAAATGATGTCAGGGGAGACTCTAATAACCTGGAATGCTCCACAGCAGCAGAAGTCTAAATGCCTTCTTTGTAACTGCTGCATCTCTTTATTTTTCAAACTGGCAGATTTTGCTCAAAGGTTCGTCTCTTCTTAAGGGTACTCCCAGCTTGCCAAAATTCCTACATTACAGCATTTCCACAGGAGAGAAAATGACGCTTGTGTGACAGGGAAAAGGAACTTCAAACATGCCAGGGATCGTATTTGCAGGGCACAGGCTAAACAAATGCTTTCAGCAGGTCCAAGTGCCTTCAGGATCTGTTTTCTCGGTACCACAAAGAGCTTTGATTCTACCAGACTGATCACATCTACTTATTCTTTTAAAGAAGAGGTGGTTCTTACTTCAGGATTGTGAGATGCCGTGACCATGATGCCAATGGTAGATGCCACAGCTTTGGACCTGAGAACTGCCAGCAAGCCCATGCGGAACATGACGTGATCCAGCTGCTGGGCCTTGGTGCGGAATCCAGCGGTGCCATACTGCAGGGTGAGTCCAGCAGGTTTGGGGTGCAATGCTGAGTATTTTTTAAGGGCTTCAGTATCCATTTCTGGAGAAGGAAGCAACACGGGTACAAGTGAGAGAAGGCAAGTCATTCCGTTTCACAGTTTGCGCTCTATTTCATTTCGAAGCACAGAGGTATCTTAAACCCTTCGTGTCAAATCCCTCAGGGGGAGACTGTGAGGGGGACCTCCACCAGAAGGAGCCCCTGTATTCCCAGTATAGCACTGGATAAACGGAGCCCCACCAGATTTCACCAGGCCACGAAGGTGAGGAGAGCCACCATTCTCAATCAGCCACGTCCAGGCATCCTAAATGAAGTTAATTCTCGCTGTAACTAGCCACTCAGCGGCCACAACTCTATATATTAACTTCTGAGTTCAAAAGGGGCCTGTCCTCCCTCCTCAAGCCCTCGCAGCCCCAGGGAAACCCCCCGGCCGCGCCTCACCTGGATCTCTCACCGGGAGGGCGGCCCTGCACCGACCCCACCCCACGCCTCAGGCAACCTGAGGCGCAGACGGCCGTGAGGAGGGGGGAGAGCCGGCCAGCCGGAGGCACTCCACCACAAGCAGCCCCTTCTCTGCACACCGGAGGGCTTCAGGAGCCACCCAGCACCCACTCGCGATGAGACCGAAGCCCCCACTCCAACCACCTCACCCGCCACCTCAGCCACCACCACAGAGCTCCCCTTCCGCAGCCGGCGCGGCCCCGCCCCCGCGCCGCGCCCGCCCATTGGCCACGCCCCCGTCAGTCAGAGCCGGGGGCAGGGTTTTGCGGCCCGCCCATTGGCCACGCCCCCTGTCAGTCAGGGCCGGGGGTTGGGGCCTGACAGGGGGCGTGGCCAATGAGCGGGCCTCGCGCCTGCGCGCTCCCTTCCCGCCCGCGTCTCGCTCAGCGGCGGTTGAGCGGCCGCGTCTGAGGCGGGCTGAGGTAGCGACCTGAGGCGGAGAGCTGCTCGCCGCTTCTCCTCGCCCCGCCGGCTTCTCCTCAGCGGGTGTAGGCGGCATGAAGAGACCTGTCGCTTCCCTCCCTCCCGTCCTCTCCGCTCCGCGGGCCAGGTGAGGCTGGCGGCGCGCATGCGCGGCCTAGGGGTGATGGCCGCTCGCAGGCCGCGGTGCTCCCTCCCATTTATCTCTTGTAGGCTCCTTTCTCCCGTTTTGTTGTGGAATAAGCCCCTGAGAGGTTAATTGTTAAAGGGTTTTGCACTCAGCTGTATTCAATGCGAATTTTGCCTTTTAAAAATAGCGGGGTTTCCCGCTGGTGCTGTGTGTTAAGCTCCCGGGCTTTGACTTCAGGCCTCAGAATCACATGGGGTTGGAAGGGACCTCTGGAGATCATCTAGTCCAACCCCCCCGCCAAAGCAGGTCCACCCAGAGCAGATCCCACAGGAACGTGTCCAGGTGGGTTTGAATGTCTCCAGAGACAAACACTCCACCACCTCTCTGGGCAGCCTCTGCCAGGGCTCTGCCACCCTCACAGGAAAGAAGTTCCTCCTCATGTTTAGGTGGAACTTATTATTTACAGGTTTGTGCCCGTTCCCTCTTGTCCTGTCCCTGGGCACCACTGAAAAAAGACTGGCCCCATCCTCCTGACACCCACCTTTTAAGTATTTATAAGCATTGATCAGTTCCCCCCTCAGTCTTCTCCAGGCTAAAAAGACCCAAGTTCCTCAGCCTTTCCTTATCAGAGAGATGCTATAAACCTGGATGAGGACGCAGTGCCTGCTGTGCAGCGCTACCTGAGAAACCCTGATGGAAGCGGTGCGATGGCTGTGGCAATAAAAGAATACCTGGAGCTCCAGCTGCTGGAAGTGGAAATGCTCCTTTCGATGTTTCCCAAAAAAGGTGAACTAAACCTGGATAAGGATGCAGTGCCTGTTGTGCAGCGCTGCCTCTGAGAGGTTAATTGTTAAAGGGTTTTGTACCCAGCTGTGTTTAATGCGAATTTTGCCTTTTAAAAATAGCGGGCTAAACCTGGATAAGGATGCAGTGCCTGTTGTGCAGCGCTACCTGAGAAACCCTGATGGAGCTCTGCCCCCACAGCTTGAATATTCAATTGCTGTTGATGTAGGGGAGCCAAAGGTGAGAAATTCCACATAGATGTGTTCATGCTGGTGTTTTTATTACTCCTGGTGCATGCAGACACTTAAAAACTGCACTGAAAAAAGGGGGGAACTCCCTCCCTAATTTGTTGTTTCAAAAGTCGAGAATAACAAAAAGCTTTTGGTTTTAATTATTTATTTGACTCTAGAATTGATTTGGCCAAGAAAGGCTAGTAGAATCACTGATAGTGGATAACCAATGTGGCAGATTGTCAAGGAACTTGGAAAAATAATTAGTCATTCTACAGTTCACTTCTCTCTGCAGGACTCATAATAGGATTGTATTGAAATAGGACTGTAGTGAAAGTCTCCTAATGGTATACAAGAGGTTCAAGTACATGAATCCTCTCCTGCTCTTGGACCAGAGGCAGGGTTCAATTTCCAAAGAACTGGAGTGCCTCGTTGTCAGATGCTGTAGGAATAACGGAGAGAAATTAACAGCCTGTGGTTTTTAGATCAGGCAAGATAATCCAGAGGTTTCCCCAGCCTAAAATGCGCATAAATCTTTTTATCTCCTATAATTTGAGAACGCTGCGTCTGTTAGGGTGAATACTTGCTTAAAATCATAATAGTGTCTCTATATACAATATATAGTCATAGAAGAAGAGTCGAGTGTGTCTTGCAGAATTGATTTTCTTTGTGTGTGTGTGTGTGTTCTGTTGAAGGTGACAGTGGAAGCATAAATCTTTTTATCTCCTATAATTTGAGAACGCTGCGTCTGTTAGGGTGAATACTTGCTTAAAATCATAATAGTGCCTTTATATACAATATATACAGTCATAGAAGAAGAAGAGTTGAATGTGTCTTGCAGAATTGATTTTCTTTTTGTGTGTGTTCTGTTGAAGGTGACAGTGGAACTGCAGGTCCTGCTGCCTCACACGTATCCTCACGTAGCTCCTCGGCTTTTCGCAAGGTCAGATGCACTGCACAGGCAGCAGCAGCTGCAGCTCAACACCGCTCTGGCTTCTCACATCAGCTCTCTGCCTCCAGGTGAAGTGTGTGTGTATGAAGCTGTGCAGTGGGTGAAAGACAACACCTTGCCTTACCTGGAAGACAATAAAATCTCTTTGGAAAGCGCTACCAAAGAAGTGGTAGAAGTGAAAGAAACGCTGCGTCGCATGTGGATCTACAGCCATCATATATACAGGCAGGAATTGAGGAAAAAGATTTTTGACTCTGCAAAGAAGTTAAATCTGACTGGTTTCTGCCTAACGGGGAAACCCGGTGTCATCTGCGTGGAGGGACTCAGAGAAAACTGTGAAGAGTTCTGGCGTGTAATCAGGTATCCCAACTGGAAGCATATTTCGTGTAAGCACATGGAGAACGTGGAAACAGACAGAGGCATCGATAATCTTCGTCTCTTTGGGGCTTTTGAAGACTTACAGTTTCAGGCACATGGTGATTACGGCCTGAGGAACGACTATCACATGGATCTTGGCCAGTTTCTAGAATTCCTGAAACAACATCAAAGTGGACATATTTTTCAGATATTATTTGGTGTTGAAGGCAAACTTTCAGACAAATAAGAGAAACTGTAAGGTGTTTTAATTTTGGGCAGCAAGAGATGACACTAACATTGAAATATTGTGCCTTATAGCTACTGTGAAAAGGGAAGCTGTTTAACATACAAGGAGAATGGTTCAAGTAGTTAATCTGACCTTCTGTTCTGAATTGGCACGTATTTTTGAGGGGTGTTAATTTATTTTCTGAAACCTTAAAACTGGCATTTGTCACTATGAGCCACACCTCTAAGTGCTTGTAAGGTGATAAAAATCCCAAATTCTGAATTCCACACTTGTACCTGCTCACCTGTACTGTGCTGTCTGTTTCAAAGCCGAGGTGCAGCCCTGCAGTTACACTCCACATACGATGTCTTCTGCTGCTCCACAAAGCATCTCCTCCATCTTCATTCAGCAAAGACTCGTGTCCAACCCCAGGACCAAGCTTTGCTTTTAAATAAGGGGTGGGGGGAAGAAGAAAGAGGCCCATGTCACCCTTGTATGTGTTGGGTAGTACCTATACAACCATATTGCTGATAACACCGGTTTTGCAATCCTTTTCCTATCATCTCATGATGTTCTGGTTATATTAATAGTTAATTTTTCAGCTGCTCAACTCACTGCATTTTATATTTACATTGGTTGGCCAAGCACCTTGAAAATGTCTAAGATGAGATAAAGTTGAGTGTTTGCTCTGGTTTTCCCCTACTTTACATGAGGAAATTATATAAAATGTAGAAAGACGGGAAAAAAGTATATTTATATTATATATGAAATAAAAATGCATATAACTTTACTGATATTTCCTATGTCAAATTAGTACTGAGAGACCAGAATTAATATAATTTCCTGTTACAAGCTGCTGGAAAAAAGCCTCTGACTAGTTGAATAACTGATGTTTATTAGAAAATACTTAGTCAAAAAAAAGCCAATTCATAACATTTTGATACTCTCTTTTTGTCACCAACGTGGAGGCCAAGCGCTTCCATGAACTTCAGTGTATCAGACCAGTAGTTCTCTTGGTGGGGGAGATGAAATCTTAGGAAGGATGGTCCCGAGGATGTTAAAATACTCTAATTCAATGTGAACAAAAGGTTCTGCAGGGTCAGTTCTTGTTAGAAGATTTCACTCCTCCACGCAGGAGTGACCAATAAGGTTGTTTTCTGGAGGAAAATATTCTAACCTTACTGTTGGTTAAACTTTTGGTTTTTTTTAAATAATAGCTCAACAATTCATGCAAATTTTATTGTGATCCAAAACAAATTAAAGAGTCATTGTATGCATTTCTTAATTTTCATGGTACCATTTGTCAGCTTAAGTTCTCATTGACATTTGTGACAAAACTCAAGTCAAAATACAACCACTAATTTCAATAACAAAAGCATTTGTCAAACTATAGAATAGGACGTCTCAATTAAAATAATGATACAACACAAATATATTTCTCAGATTAATTTTTTATTTCCTGCTGTGTAATTAATGTGATTCCTTGATCTGAGTTTCTAACCAAATATTACGATTTAGAAAAAGTTGTCTGTATCTTAAAAAAAAAAATCAGCTATTCTTAGGCTTCCTAGGCGGAAATGTTCTGAATATTTTAATGCTTTTGAAGGGCTGTTAGTTTGTTCGTTCTTCATTAAATAGTCACAGTTTCACTTTCATGGCTTCTTCGGGCCAGGAGTAGGAGTCGGCCACGAAGCTGTTGTAATCGGTGCTGTAAACCTGAGAGCGGATGAAGGCTTCGAGGTCCTTGGGCTGGGGGTAGGTGGAGGCAGTGTTATTCCTGTAGGCTTCTTCTGCGATCTAGAAAGATATATTAACATCTTAATTAGCGCTGCTAAACTATCCCCCAAACCCCAAGCACTGAGATATGATTTTTGCCTTTCCATCAGCAGGTGACCCTGGTTTAGCGTCTTCTCCAAAGCGCTGTAAGAGAAGCGTGATTTGTTCAAAGCCTCCGTGCTCCCTGCAGACTAGAGATGTGGTATTCCAAAAAAATTGTGAGTATTCCTCTCCTGGAAAAGACTGTGGCTAAACCTCTCCGACTGGATAAGCCAGAACAGGTATTTGCAGGAATAAAAGTTCAAAATGTTCTGAATATTTTAATGCTTTTGAAGGGCTGTTAGTTTGTTCGTTCTTCATTAAATAGTCACAGTTTCACTTTCATGGCTTCTTCGGGCCAGGAGTAGGAGTCGGCCACGAAGCTGTTGTAATCGGTGCTGTAAACCTGAGAGCGGATGAAGGCTTCGAGGTCCTTGGGCTGGGGGTAGGTGGAGGCAGTGTTATTCCTGTAGGCTTCTTCTGCGATCTAGAAAGATATATTAACATCTTAATTAGCGCTGCTAAACTATCCCCCAAACCCCAAGCACTGAGATGTTTTGCTTTTCCATCAGCAGGTGACCCTGGTTTAGTGTCTTCTCCAAAGCGCTGTAAGAGCAGCGTGATTTGTTCAAAGCCTCCGTGCTCCCATGATTTTTGCCTTTCCATCAGCAGGTGACCCTGGTTTAGCGTCTTCTCCAAAGCGCTGTAAGAGAAGCGTGATTTGTTCAAAGCCTCCGTGCTCCCTGCAGACTAGAGATGTGGTATTCCAAAAAAATTGTGAGTATTCCTCTCCTGGAAAAGACTGTGGCTAAACCTCTCCGACTGGATAAGCCAGAACAGGTATTTGCAGGAATAAAAGTTCAACAGAGATCAGGCAGAAAGGATCGTTTGGTAACATTTTCCTTTTTTTTGTATTTTAAATAACACAAGTAGAGGAGGAATTTCTATCACCATGTTTCTGCACAGGTGGCCTGATTTTGCCTGAGGAATGGTAAATAACATTCCTGCAGACTAGAGATGTGGTATTCCAAAAAAATTGTGAGTATTCCTCTCCTGGAAAAGACTGTGGCTAAACCTCTCCGACTGGATAAGCCAGAACAGGTATTTGCAGGAATAAAAGTTCAACAGAGATCAGGCAGAAAGGATCGTTTGGTAACATTTTCCTTTTTTTGTATTTTAAATAACACACACAAGTAGAGGAGGAATTTCTATCGCTGTGTTTCTGCCAAATGCACAGGTGGCTTGATTTTGCCTGAGGAATGGTAAATAACATTTTGACATCTACAGAACAGTTAGTGCTGAGTGAAGGGAGCTCTTTCGTGCGTGAGGGCTCCTTCTTGTTCTTCCAAAGAACTATGCAATAAGTGGAATTATTCACAGCAAGGTGACCAGGACAGAAAACAATAATTGGAGAAAAAAAGGTCACAGACCAGCAAAATAACCTCCTAAAATGCTGCTTCCCCACTCATAAAAAACAGAATGAGGATAAATGAGGATAAATACATTATTTGAAAGCTGCTTCTTTTTTCTAGGGCAGCAAAATTTCTTGGGGAACTGAGGGTTTACTGAAAATCCCTCTGTATCAGCCTGTATTTGCCAGTAAAAACCAACCAACCCCACAAACTCTGGCCCAAACCTGAGCCATAAAAAAAGCATCCCCTGCAGTTTGTTGTTCTGATGGGCCAGAGTGAGGATTGGAACAAAAGGGACACGTGTCTGGCCAGAGGGTGACACTTCATCAATGGCAAGAGAGTGTCATCAATGTCCAAAGGTGTCCGAACTGAGGGTTTACTGAAAATCCCTCTGTATCAGCCTGTATTTGCCAGTAAAAACCAACCAACCCCACAAACTCTGGCCCAAACCTGAGCCATAAAAAAAGCATCCCCTGCAGTTTGTTGTTCTGATGGGCCAGAGCGAGGATGGGACCAAAAGGGACACGTCTGGACAGAGGGTGACCCTCCATCAATGGAAAGAGAGTGTCATCAATGTCCAAAGGTGTCCTCACAGCTCCCATAGGGTACACCTGGGGACCTGCAGCTGAGGGACGGGCAGCACAGCTGGGGCCCTACAGACACAAACACTTGCTACAGCTACGTATCTTTCCTTGTCTTTGGGTTACATTTATGAATTTACATTTTAATTTTGAAACAGCTACTTGGCCAAAGTTGATTGACGTAAACTGACGTCAACTTGTGTCACGGCCTGTGTTGAGTTGATCAAAGCCAACGTTCCATTGCGTAGAGAGTGGGAAGAAAAGCAGCCACAGAAGGGTGAAAGGACTTACCCTGACGGCAATTTTCAGCGACACGTGCTGAATGGTGACCAAGGGAGGGTACAGGCGACCTTCCTGTAAGTTCTCCTCTGAAACTTGCTGTGCTATTACCTAGAAACAAAGCAGATGTGTTTAACTTGAAATGCAGGGGCAGCTGTAGTTTTATTAGACAGTGACCTGGTCTTCAGCAAATAAATGGTTCCACTTTGGCCAACCACGCAGATAGCAAGGACTTACCCTGACGGCAATTTTCAGCGACACGTGCTGAATGGTGACCAAGGGAGGGTACAGGCGACCTTCCTGTAAGTTCTCCTCTGAAACTTGCTGTGCTATTACCTAGAAACAAAGCAGATGTGTTTAACTTGAAATGCAGGGGCAGCTGTAGTTTTATTAGACAGTGACCTGGTCTTCAGCAAATAAATGGTTCCACTTTGGCCAACCACGCAGATAGCAACCTGGAGAAGTCATTTTTGACTGTTTACTCACTGGCCATATGAAAAATGTTCTCTGTGGAGATGTTCTCCACAGAGTGAGGAGAGACGCTGCTTGCACTGTCTGCTTATGAGCTCACCTCATGAACTTCCTCTGCTCCTGCAACAGATCCCTTTTAAGAAGCAAAGTGTCCCGGGTCTAATGGGAAGAAGCCTTTGGGTCTAACGATATTTCTGCAATCAGTAGCTAAAATTTGTTTATCTCTTTTATTCCAAAATAAAAACCAGCCTTTCAGGGTGACCCAGATGGGGATTCGCTGAGCCTGAGAATGAGCAGGTGCTGGTTTGCTGACCTGTCTCCTACTCTGTAATCTCTTTGCTGGACTTGAAGGTTTGATTTCTTTAACTGCCCACCTTTGTACCCCCTGGGGAGCTGCCAGTTACATTCAAATACCTTCTGGGCAAACTAAGCACAAAATACATATATTAAAAATGGTCTGACTTTATGCAGTTTTTAGTAGCCACCTTCACCCACATTCTCTACTAGAGTTCTCAAAGAGAGACGTGCATCAGCAGAATCCCAATTTCAAATTTCTCTGTCTCGTTTTGGGACAGAAAGGAAATGACTCCAGGGAGATGTCACTTGCCCTCTGAACAGCTGGGAACGTGTGACAGTCACAGGGAAAGGAGGTTCTTGTAGAGGGCAAGCTCGTACTTCTTAAATCTGTTACAGTTTATAAGGAGTTTCCATGGATATTTAGTGGCTCAGGCTTGCTCCCGGAGTGTATCCTTCCAGTTAGTTTCACCCAAAAGGAAACCAGTCCCCCTCTCCTCCCAAAACCATGCCACGCTGTGGAGCAAGGTGGAAGGTAGGGAGATGTTCTCCAGAAGACCATTCTGATGCAAAATAGAAGAGTAATAGAGAGGCGCCTTCAGTGTTCCCATCAGGAGAAATGATACATTTTGGTGCAATTACAGCTTAGATATTTAGTGTTCCCATCAGGAGAAACGATACATTTTGGTGCAATTACAGCTTAGATACAAAAGGTTAGAACCAAATCACTGAACCAGGAGTGTGGGGATACTCCTGCGTGGTGTGACCTGTAGTGGTGCTCTGTGGGTGGAAGGAAAACTGGTCTGTAGAGTGTCTGGTGGAGCCGTGTATGATCCGTCCAGAGGCTCTGAAAGCACCAGGAAAGTCCAGGAAACACCATGAAAGTAATACCCAAAGAGAAAGCCCAAAGTAGAGCTTTCTCTTTGGCCCAAAGAGAAAGCAAGAAGTGGAGTCTGGAGGGAAGAGACTCCAAAAGGAGCACAAACTGCTCCCTACAGTTCCTGTGGCCCGGGGGAAGTAGGACTTTGAGATGTTGGTGTGGAGAAACGCAGCCGAGATAAAAACCCACTAGGTGGAGCAAATACAACGTAGACCCAGTTTCTGCTTCCCATAATAGGGACTGGGCTGTTTAAAAACAACACGCAGCCCTCTGGTAAACCAAGACCTGCATCTGCATGTGTGAAGGGGAGCTGAAAACGTGACATTTCTGCTCCTCAGTTTGATGGGGCTCCGCAGGAAAGATGGAATCTGAAGAAACCAACAGCAAGTTGCTGATAGTCTAATGCATCACTGAAAACAAAAAAAAGGTTCAGGGGCAGATTCGTTCTGTTTCCTGATGGGGTTGACAGAAGTGCTCGAAGTGGGAGAGGAAGGAAGTTTAACTACACAGATGCCACGCTAGTCCTTCTACACAGCCCTGTAACAGCACTAAAAACTGTGCAAAACCAGGCATTTTCAAAGAGAGTGCCAACTTCTCCACGTCGTCTCTGAAAAACGCTTCTCCCTCAGTTCAGTGGCAGGGGAAAAAAATGATGACTCAACGTTTGGAATTATTAAGAAAATAAGAGGCGACAGAGAA